TTTCCCTCAATGCTGTCTCCTCTGGCTTTTTCACCTCTCTCCTGTTATCTGCACCCAGTATTTCTAACATATCCCAGTCACTTGAGACCTCCACTTTTGCTCCCATGTCAGTGGCCACGTTGGAGGGATGCCCTACAGTGGATGTCCCACCAGGCCAGCTTGCTTTCTCCGCTTTTTTCCTCCACTTTCTCTCCCTTATCAAGGCAGCAATACAGACTCAGAATTTTATAGCCTGCAAAACCCTCTGGACAAAGCCTCTGCTCCCACTACCCTTCTAGCCGCTGACATGGTTTCACTGGTTTCTTCAGACAACCCAAAAACTTCAGCAGCAGCAGCCAAGGACTCTCCCACCCACCACATCTGCTCCTCTGCCTTTTCTCTAGCAACTTGTGGGAAGATTTCCTGACTCCACGTGCACAGCGATTCCTACTGGCCTCTCTCCCACAGTTCTCTTCAACCTCCCTGCCTGACTCCCCTGCTCCTTAAGTCCTTCTCTGCCTCACTTTACTTGCAGCTACAACTTGGTACCCATCTTCTTGGATCCAGTCATTCCCCTCAACAATGATAAAATGCCCCTTACGTCTGTGACTTCAAAATTTCCTTCTCTGTCTAAGCATTACGTCTCCACTAATCCTGCCACGGCTCTTCCCACTCCCCCAGGAGTCTCTAATGAGATCGTGACAATATACCGCCTGCCAGGATTCATTCTAGCCATCTGCTATCCATCGAGGTACTTTTACTGCACCTCTGGCTGTGCCATCACAGCATCAGAGACAGCATGATGGGGGGATGCTGAGAACTTAAACAAAGGCAAGAGGTAATGATTAGAAAGACTCTTGATTTGTCACAAGCCATCAGAGACTTCTCTGACAGGGCTGATTTATATAGCCGATTTCAAATGGAATACGAACAAGCACAGAGCAATGTGAAAATACTTGCGAAGGCCATGCAAGCTATAAACATTTGCAAGGCGCATGCTTGCCTTAGGTTTCTTTTTATCTCTTTAAGAGCCTATGCCCCATGGTGCCTTTTATTGTCGCTACACATGGAAGCAAGCCCAAAAGATCACTCTCAGACAGAGTATCCCACAGAAACGAATCCTGTTTCAATCCTCTGTTGTAACAGGAAATGGGGTGATTTTTCTCTTTTGTTTATTGTTATTTGCTGCATCAATCAGTGCTTCGCTGAAGATTGCAAGGGGTCTTTTTTGTTGCTGTTTGCTTTTGGAAGCTAAGAACAGTTGTGCTGAATCTTACAGATGAAAATAAGTTTCTCTCTCCTGTGTCTTTGAACTACAGTATGTGGCACCGCCTGTTCATCGCTTTAAATGGGCTGTAATCCCCACCTCCCCACAGGCACACAACACAACTGCTTTGCAGAACTTCAAACCCAGGGATACTCACAGCTTGCTGAGGTTTTCTAGGCCTGTAAAGGCTCCATTGGTATCTTCTATTGTGCCTGAGATGTCGTTGTGGTCCAGTTCCCTAGGGAGAGGACAAGAGAGGGCTCATAATCAGTGTCTTAGTCCTAGGCTCATCGTTAAAAACAAACAGAAGAAAGTTTGGGAATGACACACGAAGAGCTCCCCGTTTTCTCCTGACAGTTACTAGAAAAAAAACGAGTCCTGCAGCAAAGCAGCGCTAATGACTTTTCCTGCACTGACCCATGCTGAGATGATGCATTCCAAAAAGAGCCCTGGCTTTTTCCTAGCTGAAACCCCCTGTTTCTAAGACAGCAGCAGATAGCTACTTTTTTAACAGGTTGGTTTCAGTCCTTTTCTCATTCTGTGCAAACAAAACGAGGAAAAAGAAAATAAAGTCCCAAAACTAATCTGCAAGAAACAGTTGTCCTTAAATTAATGTCCTTAAAATGTCTTTAAATATCATGAACTAAGATAACTTTGGCTATTCCAATGTATACACGTATTTGTCTATAGCTGTATCTTCAGAAGATGATTTGGTGTATTTTCTATGAAGCTGTATTTTTTTCTGGCAATGAGCTTGAAAGCTCAAAGGAAAGCACTATCATCCTTGCCTTAGGTTTCTTTTTATCTCTTTAAGAGCCTATGCCCCATGGTGCCTTTTATTGTCGCTACACATGGAAGCAAGCCCAAAAGATCACTCTCAGACAGAGTATCCCACAGAAACGAATCCTGTTTCAATCCTCTGTTGTAACAGGAAATGGGGTGATTTTTCTCTTTTGTTTATTGTTATTTGCTGCATCAATCAGTGCTTCGCTGAAGATTGCAAGGGGTCTTTTTTGTTGCTGTTTGCTTTTGGAAGCTAAGAACAGTTGTGCTGAATCTTACAGATGAAAATAAGTTTCTCTCTCCTGTGTCTTTGAACTACAGTATGTGGCACCGCCTGTTCATCGCTTTAAATGGGCTGTAATCCCCACCTCCCCACAGGCACACAACACAACTGCTTTGCAGAACTTCAAACCCAGGGATACTCACAGCTTGCTGAGGTTTTCTAGGCCTGTAAAGGCTCCATTGGTATCTTCTATTGTGCCTGAGATGTCGTTGTGGTCCAGTTCCCTAGGGAGAGGACAAGAGAGGGCTCATAATCAGTGTCTTAGTCCTAGGCTCATCGTTAAAAACAAACAGAAGAAAGTTTGGGAATGACACACGAAGAGCTCCCCGTTTTCTCCTGACAGTTACTAGAAAAAAAACGAGTCCTGCAGCAAAGCAGCGCTAATGACTTTTCCTGCACTGACCCATGCTGAGATGATGCATTCCAAAAAGAGCCCTGGCTTTTTCCTAGCTGAAACCCCCTGTTTCTAAGACAGCAGCAGATAGCTACTTTTTTAACAGGTTGGTTTCAGTCCTTTTCTCATTCTGTGCAAACAAAACGAGGAAAAAGAAAATAAAGTCCCAAAACTAATCTGCAAGAAACAGTTGTCCTTAAATTAATGTCCTTAAAATGTCTTTAAATATCATGAACTAAGATAACTTTGGCTATTCCAATGTATACACGTATTTGTCTATAGCTGTATCTTCAGAAGATGATTTGGTGTATTTTCTATGAAGCTGTATTTTTTTCTGGCAATGAGCTTGAAAGCTCAACAAAGGAAAGCACTATCATCACTACACAAGCCTAACTCTCTATATAATCCTTTTTTAAAAAAAAAAAAAAAAGTAAGAATTCCTGTTTCAGAGTTAGCTTCTTTTGGCTTTCAAATTGACCATCAATTACAAGAGTCAAAGAGGTCTGAAGAAAAACAAGCACACAGAACAAACACAGAGATCCACAAAAGCTGTTTAAACAGTCTGTTTAAAAGTCTTTCCCTCCTAGCTTTAATTCCAGCTAGCAATGAATACCCAGCAACACAGACAGAAATTTATCATTTCTCATGTTAAGTAAAATGAAAGAAAAAAATAAATAGGCTGTGTTGGTTTTGTTACATCACCCTGACTTAAAACCTAGCAAAACCCAACAACAAAGCAAACTAAACCATCCAGATAAACCCCCGAACCCTCAGGTATTCCTTTCACACCTTTTGAAGATTATTATCAGAACATTTCCAGTTTAAATATATAAAAACCAAAAAAAGAAAAATATTTCCAAAACAAAGCCCCCTGCATTTTGAAGCATGGGCATCACAGTGTAGTTTCTGGGCTATGCAGCACAAATACACAATAACCCAGAAGAAGAGAACAGAAATTTAAAAAAATCCCACAGTTTCAATATTGGCATGGTTCCACCCAGCCAAGATGGGGCTGAGTCTTTTGCTCTCAGTACCTACACTGGCTGCAGCTTTTGCTTGTTTCTCGGCTTTGGTGTGTGAACTAAAGATGTGAAGGGAGATGACCAAAAGCCACAAATCCTGTTTCTCAGCTGGCTTCAGCGTGAGACCTGAATCTCATGTCCCTGGGGAACCCTGGCCTTAGCCAGCATGATTGTGGATGTCAGGGTGATCTGCAGATAGGTCTATGCCAAAGGGATGGATAAAAACTCAACATCCCCGCAGGGTGTGGGCACGCATAATGGTGTGGTGGCCTACGAGACAAGTCCAGGAGAGAGGCTTTGATGTGCTGACCTTTTCAGCGCTATCTGAGTGAGGCAGGAGCAAATACATCCTCCCAGAGCTAAGTTTTTACATTTCCCCTATGGTTGCCAAGCCAATGCCCACTGTTCTGTTTGCTTGCTAAGGGCAAATCCCTTCTCAGACATTTCTCCTCTTCAATTCCACCACAGGCTATCGGTCTTTGGACCAGCAAACCCTTTCCCATGGCAGAGACAGACAAGTGGGAACAGCCTGTAGAAGCTCTCTGACACCCACTTTTATTAATTGACTGCCACACATTGTGTTTTCTTGAAAAAGGAAAAGCAAATGGTATTGCTTGTTCATCCAAAGGCAACTCAAAGGTTTAGTGTTAGAAAGGAGGAATAAAAACCTTTTTAACAAATGAGTGAAAATAGAGAGAGAGGGAAAAAAGAGTGGGGTATTTTGGCCTAGCTCTCTTTGTATTCAAACTCCTCTCCCAGCCCCTGTTGCCAATTTCCTATTCTTTCTGGCTGGCTGAGCTTGAATGCTCGCAGCCTTGTTAATCATTGTGCTCTGAGGTCTCTGGGCCTGACCTCTATTTGAATAGCTCCACATTTCAGCAGTTTCACACCCACCAAAGGCTCCCCAACAATAGGCCATAATTAAAGCATGCTCGGGTCTTTTTCACCAGGTGCAGGACCCAATAGGCCTTTCTCTTTATTAAATTAGAGCTCACTCACACACTCCCCCCTCCTCCTCCCCCCTCAGCCCTAGACATAAAAGAGGCTCCACATTCACTGCAGAGCAAAGAGAACTACCAGCTCCCCTTCCCCTCCATTTTTCTTTGGAAACCTTTAGTTCCGGTCTTGACAGCTGCCTCAGAGAGGTGGTGCCTTTCTGAATGCCCAGTGGCTGAAAGACTTTGGCTTACGCTTAGAAAAAGGAAGAAAAGCCAACAAAACCCAAACTTGCTTTCCAGTCACTTTCTTCACTGTGAACTTCAATAAAGGAAAGAGTAAGATGCAAAAAGTACTGTAAAGAGAGGAGATCTTTCTGTTCCCATTTCCTTTTAATTACTCAGGCCACAATGGGCTTCTGAAGAGGAATAAAAGTATCAAAGTGGGGGTT